ATTCTGAAAAGATACTTACCATGCATCTTTGAAAGGTAGCAGGTGCATTACACAATCCAAATGGCATCCTTCGGTATGCAAATGTTTCAAATGGGCAGGTGAAAGTAGTCTTCTCTTGGTCCTCGGGTGCGATAGCAATTTGAAAATAACCTGAAAATTCATCCAAAAAACAATAGTAAGCTCGACATGCTAATCGCTCCACCATCTGGTCAATGAAAGGGAGGGGAAAATGGTCCTTTTTCGTGACGGCATTTAGCTTTCGGTAATCGATACACTGTCGCCATCCGGTGGGCTTTCGAATTGGTACGAGCTCACCCTCTTGGTTTGATTCCACTGCCACCCCTGCCTTCTTCGGGACCACCTGTACTGGACTTACCCACGGGCTATCTGATATTGCAAATATAATTCCAACGTCCAGCAGTTTTAAAATCTCTTTCTTTACGACCTCCATCATGAGAGGATTTAATCTCCGTTGAGCTTGCCGTACGGGTTTAGCATTCTCCTCGAGTCGAATTCGGTGCATACACACCGCAGGGCTAATTCCCTTAATGTCGGCGATGGTCCATCCTATCGCCTGCTTATGTTCCCTAAGAACTCGAAGTAGTTTCTCTTCTTGAACCTTTGATAAACCCGCGGAGATGATCACTGGAAGTGTCCCCCCTTCACCTAAGTATACATACTTTAGGTGTTTCGGCAGTGGTTTTAGTTCCAAGACAGGTGCCTGCACCACAGATGGAAGTAACCTTTGGTGAGGTTCGGGTATGAAAATCGGTGCAAGATCATACCTTGTCTTCGTGGTTGGTAACGTTTGCAACGATCCAATCACGCATTTAAGCTCTTCACTCAACTCTACCCTAGAAGTTGTTTCGGACTCAAAGTGCCTGGTCAGGACGACCTCTAGTTCATCCCTGCCTTCAATTTCAAAAACCTCCTGTATAGCAGGGTCAATAACATTTATCGAGAAAACAGAGCCAATATTTGAATCGGATGGATATTTCATGGTCTCAAAGATGTTAAAGTGAACAATCTCACCATCAAATTCCATAGACAAAGTACCCTTATTAACATCAATTTTGGTTCGGGCTGTACTCAAAAAGGGTCTACCTAACAACACAGGTGACGGATCACGGGAGTGTTCATCCTCCATGTCGAGCACATAAAAATCAGCTGGAAAAACCAATTCATTAATTTTTACCAAAACATCTTCAATCAACCCGTCAGGGTATGCATTGGTCCTGTCAGCTAATTGAATTATTATCCCAGTCTCTTTCAAAGGGCCTAAGTTTAAGGAGGCATAAATGGACTTTGGCATGACATTAATTGAGGCTCCCAGGTCTAACATGGCCTTCCCAATCAAAGTATTACCTATCCTACAAGGAATAGTAAACATACCTGGATCTCCGCATTTCGGTGGAAGCTTTCTTTGTAGAATTGCTGAAACATTCTCCCCAACTATAACTCGTTCATCCCCCTTCAACCGCTTGCGGTTGGCACACAGGTCCCTCAAAAATTTTGCGTACCTGGGTACTTGTTTAATCGCATCCAGTAGGGGTATGTTGATCTCCACCTTGCGAAAAATCTCCAGGACCTCTTTTTCCTTGTCTTGCTTCTTTGGTTTCTCTAACCTGCTAGGAAAGGGAGGTGGATTAGTTTTAGCTGTAGGAATTGGGTTCGAGGGTACCTTTGCATTTTTGTTGTCTGTGCCCTCCTCTTCCAATTCTTTCTCAATCCGTTCCTCGTCCTTGTCTTTAGGAATCACCGGTTCGGGTCCTTGAACTTCCTTGCCACTCCTTAAAGTCATTGCACTTACATTCTTTGGATTTGCCTCAGGTTGAGATGGCAATTTTCCTTGAACTTGGGACTCCAAACGGTTGATTGTTATAGCCATTTGATTCATTTGATTTTGCAATGATTGCACCTGTCCCAGTTGATTTCTCATGCTTTGCAGGTCTGAATCCGTCTTTTGTTGATTAGCAAGTAATTGCTTCATTATCTCTTCCATGGACGGACTTGAGTTTGAAGGGAGTGGTGGTGGTGGGCGAGGATGGTACTGCTGTTGGTGTCCTTGCTGTCTATTTGGCACAAAGTTAGACTGCCTATTTCCTCCATAGCTAAGGTTGGGGTGATCCCTCCAACCAGGATTGTAGGTGTTTGAGTATGGGTCGTACTGCTTTCTTGGCGCGGGCGCGTGGCCAGCCATGTTCACCTGTTCTGCAGTTTCTTCTTGAACCAGTGGACACATTTCCGTAGGATGACCTACGGCAGTGCACACCCCACACACTTTGACTTGTGAAGCACTCCCTACAGCTAATTGTCTTACGAAAGATGTTAATTCGGAGATCTGCTGTTGGATAGAGGACGTTTCCACCTCATTCACCTTACGCGTCGGGATGTCCTCTCTTGAACCAAACTGCTGTGAGTTCTCAGCCATCCCTTCAATCAACTCCCATGCTCCTCGAGGGGTTTTGTTCACCAACGCCCCTCCACTTGCAGCATCGATTATGCTTCTGTCCCTGAAAAGCAACCCCTCATAGAAATATTGAATGAGCAGTTGCTCACTTATCTGATGCTGAGGGCATTTGGTGCACAGTTTCTTAAATCTCTCCCAGTACTCATAGAGAGATTCGCTAGGGTGTTGTTTGATACCACATATCTCTTTCCTCAGGCTCGCAGCTCGAGACGCCGGAAAGTACTTAGCCAGAAATTTTTTCTTCAATTGATCCCACGTGGTGATACTACCAGGCGGTAGGTAGTAGAGCCAGTCTTTTGCAGAGCCCTCATCTTTATTTGCTCTTCTGTAATTCCCGGAGGCTTCATACTGTTGCAAACGACGTCGAACTCTTACAAGTGCTTGTAGGGCTCCTCACCTGATAGACCATGGAAAGATGGCAAGAGATGAATTAAACCAGATTTTAGTTCAAAGGGAGTGTCATCATTTAAATGTGAAAAAGTAATGCACAAGGGCTGCTGATTTAAATCAGGAGCAGCCAACTCCCTTAGTGTTCGTGCATTTGCCATAGTGACTTCCTCTTGGTCTGAATCACTTGAATTGTCACCAGACAAATTTGTCGGCTCAACCTCTGGATCAAGTTCCTGAGGAGCAATATCGTATTGCTCCTCCCTGAGCCGCCTGGTTTCTTTTCTCGTTCTACGCGCGGTCTTCTCTACTTCAGGGTCGAAAATTAATTCGCCTGTACGAGAAGAGCGAGGCATAAACTAGAAAAATACCAGAAAAAAATGAACTTAAAAAGAAACAAATGATTAACGCCAGTCCCCGGTAACGGCGCCAAAAATTGACAGGTGTCGAGCCTGTGCAATAATAAATACCTACTCGAGAAAAAATAAATTTTCTGTGTATAGTAGTGAGTAGGGTCGAATCCACAGGGACTGGGAAAAATTTGATTCCTTTCAAGTTCGGGACACGGGGGATTTTTATCAGAAATAAACTAAAAATAATTAAACAATTTAACTAAAAATAATTAAATAATTTAACCAAAAATAAATAATTAATTAATACAATTGTAAATAACAATTAAATAAATGATAAATAAATTCTAGCCAAGGATACAACTACGCAGACACAGTCCATTCATCTGATAATTGATGCAAAGAAGGTTCACTTAATTTAATTAATAGGCTAGTTATAGTCACCGATAAACTCTAATGACCAGTTTTTCCTTAATTTATTGATAACCAAGGTACGACCGTTGATTACCCCTAACCAGGAAATACTCCTAGGTACGACCGTAGGAATTAATTTCCTAATTGCATTAAAAACTAGAAAAGCCTAACCCAAATTAATAACACGCTACGAGGGTTATTTAAATCAGATTGCATGTCCTCCTAGTATGTGAAAATACTAGTTGTCACTAATATTAACCAACTAAACAATTACGGATTTAATTGATTAATTTGACAAGAGATTAATAAGTCAAATTGCACATCGGGCCCTTGATATCCAATTAACAAAATAATTCCATGGAAATTAAAATAGAAAACATGCAAATATTAATAAATTAAGGAACACGTAAAATTAATTAGATCTCACAGATATTTGGGACTGCGTCTTCGCGTTGATCCTTGACTAGAGGAGAAAATTAGCCACGCCTCATACGAAAATCTTCACACAATTCAATTGAATTTAAAGACATCATCTTTCTTCGATAATTGAGAGAGTGAATAACAAAGCTCTCAGAAGAAAATAAGAAAATTGCATAATAGAATTCAACAAACCAAAACAACTCCCTATTCTCTCCTCTGGAACATCCCTCGGAGAGAAAAACTACAAACTCCTCTATCCTCCTACGGAGCTTAATTTTGAAAGAAAACTACAACTCACTAGCCTCTTGTCTTCTGCCATCGTTCGATATATATAAGGCAAGTCTTAGTCTTCATAGCTTTTTCATAGTCTTTTCTCCTTGAGCCCACTACTCTACGTAGGGAGCAATTGGAAAAACTACAATCATCAAAGCCAACATCTTGGCTAATGAGTACATCTCCCACCATAAGGACAGACTTTCTACGTGGTCCCCGTTAGATAATGAAAGAAAACATCATTCCAATTAATTCCAGCACAATCATCAATTCCTCTGCAATTATCAAAACGGAGGAGTCCACTATAATCATCAATTCCAGCACAAATACACCCGTGGAACCTAGCTTGTATGTTCTTTAGAAACTTCCCACGTGTGGAGTATTTGTTGTAAGAAAATCTCTCTTTTCTGCTCCACTTCCTGAAATTGAGTCCAGATGCCAAATATAAGTATATGTTGACAATTAAAATAATATTTGGCATGGAAACAGGGAAAAATTAATAATAAAATTACTAACAATTAACACCTTATCAATGTAACTGTTATATCTGGAGATTTTGGGGCTAATCGGTCAATGGCTGTTTGCGATGAGATTGATGAGAACAAAAGTAAAGAACAATCCTTGGGCTGCACCAATCCTTGTGGTGGTGGAGATGGCTTTAGAGAAATATTGGCTGAATTAGATGTGTGGGATGGATACACATATAGTGACCAGACTCTTGCTGGCTGCAAATTAAAATGCAGGACAAATTGTTCGTGCTATGCTTATTCTTATATTACGTACAACCAAGGAGGTTGGGGCTGTAAAACTACTAGGAGTCGGAAAGGGCAGCTGCTTTATTCTGGCACACAGAGAAGTTTTGTCCGTGATAGTTTCGATTTGGCTGGGAAAGGTACCAGGAAGATGTTCTTTACTTTCCTCTATATCCAGTTCAATAATCTGGTATGGTTAAAAAGGATGCGGAGGCTTTTACTTTTTTATTTAAGGGGTCAAAAATTTGATACTTGTTAGTAATAATTTTTTTTCCCCTTGTTCGTTTCTGAACCTTGTAATATGCATTCTTACATATTTTAGAGCAGAGGAAGTTTCTAAAACCAAATAGCTCACATCATCTCGGGATGTTGATGATTAACTTTCTAAATATCCAGAAAAAGAAAAAATCAGGGACATGTTCGGCTTGTGTGTTAATGTCAAGGACTAGTTTCTTTTATTGATGCTAAAAGGAATAATACTAAGTTGATAATATACTAATCGTGCGATTTGTCCATTGCAGAATTAAATTCTACCCCTTCACCTGGGCTTGCTCCTCTGGCATCTCCTGCTCTCGCTCCTAGTCCTCCATCTGTAGTTTATCCTTCACCTGGGCTTGCTCCTCTGGCATCTCCTGCTCTTGCTCCTAGTCCTCCATCTGTAGTTTATCCTATGCCTTCCGCGATAAAGAAGTCAAAGAAATGGAAAGTCAAGTTATCTATTGGTGTCCTGGTAACATTTCTGGGGGCTCTTATATTGCTTTACTTATTTTGCTGCCTGAAATGCAAAAATGGTGACAGCAGAGGTAATTATCGTTAGCATTAGAGCTCCTAGTTGTTTAACTTACTGTACATCGTAAGTTTCATTTCAATTATATGCTAAAACAATATAAAAGTCCGAAATGATCTGAGCGTTATTTGATTTTTGATCTATGATCAGGTTTAAGAGAATTCAACAGTGCAAAAAGGCTAGCGCTTCGTGATAAAAGGGTAGATGATGAATTGCCTTTCTTTGGTTTTACGATCATAGAAATCGCAACAAATCATTTTGCAGATGAAAATTTGCTTGGTCAAGGAGGATTTGGCCCTGTCTATAAGGTAAACGATTATTCATCTCTAAGAATCTAACATAAGTTCAAAATAAACGCCTAATTGCATTTCCAGAAGTTAAAAATAAATGTCTTTGAAGTTTGAACGTCTCCAACAATGTGAAGTCCTCTATTAACAGCCTCAGAGCAAGTAATAAATTAGCAAGTTTATTCACCCGCGTGAATTTCCTTCTGGCAATTCAATCGGGCCATTAATATGCTTTACATGCTAAGTTGTGTGGTTCAGGGAAAGCTGCACGATGGGCAAGAAATTGCAGTAAAAAGACTGAAACATATGTCCGGATTTGGGATGGAGCAATTCAAGAATGAAGTTACAGTGATCTCAAAGCTGCAACATCGAAATCTTGTACGACTTCTTGGCTATTGCATCCACAGAGAGGAGCGCATACTAATATACGAGTTCCTGCCCAATAAAAGTTTGGATTCAATTGTTTTTGGTAAGTCGAAAGAGCTAACTACCTGGATATTTTCATGTCAAGGCTTCGGCCTGAGTGGTAAAATTCTTTCATTGAGATGGTTTAGATGCCATCCAATTGATAATTTACTCAACAATTTTTGTTATCAGATTCTGAAAAAGGAATAGTATTAGATTGGAAAAGGCGTTCACATATTATTGATGGGATAGCTCAAGGGCTACTATATCTCCACAAGTATTCCAGGCTAAAAATTATCCACAGAGATCTCAAAACAAGCAATGTATTGTTGGACAATGATTTAAATCCCAAGATTTCTGATTTTGGAACTGCAAGAATTTTTGGAGATAATGAATCGCGTGCAAATACAAAGAAAGTTGTTGGTACATAGTAAGAACTAAGAATTCAAATTTGTTTGTTTCATCTACATAACAATGTTCCCACTTCCAAATTTATAGTATGATAGTATCCTTGCTAAGACTAACTGATTTTGTTGACGAAACAGCGGTTACATGTCTCCTGAATATGCCATGAATGGCATTTTCTCTGTCAAGTCTGACGTTTATAGTTTTGGGGTGATGATGCTGGAGATCATAAGTGGAAAGAAGAACACTTCTTTCTATGACTCTGATGATCATTTGAACTTAATAGGATATGTAAGTACTCGCCTTATTACAGCTCTAGCTGATAGATTATTCTAATTACGCATCATTTTTTCTTTATTTCGATTTCCCGAAATGATCTTGTACAAAAACGCATGCTTTTCATTCGTTGCTTCTGTTTCAGGTGTGGGATTTATGGCTAGACGGAAGAGTTACAGAGGCAGCAGATCGTAGTTTAGGTGAAACAGTCTCCAAACAAGAAATTACAAGATATGTTCAAGTTGGATTGTTGTGTGTACAAGAAAATGCTGTAGACAGACCAACCATGTCGGATGTACTTTCCATGCTTAACAATGATTCGGTAACGGGTCTTCCTGTTCCTAATCGACCAGCTTTTTCCTGCATTACAAGCCGGTTGATCAATGACAACCCAGTCCAAAATCAAGAACCTTGTTCCATCAGCAAGGTCACCATTTCTGACGTAGAAGGTCGATGAATTAAATGTTGTAATAGTTGTTTTTGTGGACAACTGCAAAGGAACTAGTATGTGCCTGCGATTCATTCTCTGCAAAAAATCGATGAACTACTTGTCAAATGTGGTTTCCATGCACATCAAATGGTATTTGATCTTACTACCATTGTACCATTCGCTCTTGATTAGAAGATTCATTTTCTATATCTATCGTCTTTAACTTTTAGAAGATTCATTTTCTATATCTATCGTCTTTAACTTTTTGTTGAAAATTCTGCACTGGCATGCTGCAACTCAGAATTTCAATTTGGTTTTGAAAAAACAAATAAAATTTTCAATTGATGCATCCCATTTCCTGCACTGATCCCACAACTTTTGAGTGTGAGTCATGGTCTCTAAATGCTCAAGTCAAATAATTAGCAACCCAGCAGCCTACAACTTATATACATATCACATTCAATTCCCTCATTCATTCTCACATTCGATTTGAAATGGGAGTTGGAGTATTAGGATTGCAAACAAGCTAAGTCGAGTTGAGTCATGATTTGATCAAATCTAGTACTACTTAATTTTACTAGGCTCCAACTAAATTGAACTCCTCATGTAAAACTTGACCTCATGCTCGAAGTCAATTTCGAGCTTGTCAAGTCAAGTACGAGTTTGATTGAGTTCAAACTAAAATAAAAAATAATCACAATATTTTAAGTGGATAAAATAGAAATTTTACTCTAATAAATTTTTAAAAATGAATAAACAGGTATATATATTATTAGGCACAAGTCTAAATATTTTTGGATTCAAACTTGATGCTCGCTCCAGCTACTTGAGCTTGGTGTTGACTTGAGTCAAGCATTGACTGAGTGCGTTTGCAGTCCTAGGGTGTGTCAAGGAAAATCATGGTAGAGATCATGGTAAGCAGATTATGTCTCAATTAAGAAAAATACCAATTAAAACAATGAAAATACTTGAATCATTCATTTTATTCGAAAACCATGAGCCCAGTTCTGTCCTTCAAGAACTGTTAACTATGCAGCCTTACGAGTATGGTCAAAAATACACTAGGGGAAACATCGGCTTTTAGATGTCAATTACGTGTGTATTCTAGGTACAAGTGAGGCAAAGCTGGTGTAGCTTTTTCTTGTCTACTGCTATGTGCTAAAGTTTTGGGGAAAGAACAAGCAAATGTCCAATTTTAGAGAAGAATACAAATTTAATTACTTATATGAAATATATTAATTATCGAGCTTCCAAATCTGAAATTGTCAGTGTATTATTGGAGCATTCCAGATTTTGAACAAAACTTGTTATTGTTTCGGTATCTGTTTGCGGCAGAAAATACTGGTCGATTTAGAAACGGAAGATCGGCTAGTGATTCATTGTCAAGCATGGAAACCACATCAGACATGGTCTGTCGGCTGCTTTTTCTTCCGCGCACAGCAGCCCAACTTGAACATTTCTTGAAATTTCATGCATGGAAATTGACTCACCTAAACTGGGATCTGCAATGTCCGAGACCCTTCCATCTTTCCATAAATCCCACACCTGAAATGTAAGAAGAAGCAAGAAAATGTAAATAAATGGAATTCATATGCTCTAAGAAACTGTAATATACAATCAACAAGAACTTCAACGTGTCAAGATATATACTCACGTGTCCTACTAAGTTTAAATGATCATCCGTGTCACTGAAAGAAGTGTTCTTCTTTCCACTTAAATGATCATGACTTCACAGAGATGATACCCTTCATGGCATATTCAGGAGACATGTGGGCACTGTTTCATGGCCACATTAAGCGAGCTATACATATCATAGCTAAGTTACTAATATGTGTGGATTTTCTGTCTATCACTTCCCCCGGCTGGTATTACATTGTAAGGAAGAGGATGGTTGTTCCGGCTCTGATAATCCGGAGCCTCACCATGTGGTACTTCTGGAAGTGTCACCTCGGGTAACTTCTTGACAAAGTGACTTTGACCCGGTTATCACCTCGGCTAGGGTCTTCTGTCTTAGAGTCGAGGTGACGTCTAAAGATCTGACCACCGGAGAGGTGGGAAATGACCTCTGACACCTTTGGCACCTGACAAAGCTGTTCTAACACATGCGCCGCCTGACTCTGACAACTGTTCCGGCGCGCTTTTTCGCAGGAGCCCATCAAATTAACTTGATGCACTGCCCATGTCAAATCTTTAGGGACCCGTGCCAGCAGGCCCTCTTTCCTGTCCATCCTTTATAAATACTCAACACTTCTACTGAGAAGGGGGATGACCAATTTTTTGGTAAAACAACATACACTGATTCTCCCAATTATTATACTACTTATCTAATCCCGAGCTAACTTAAGTTTCGGAGTTATATCGGGGGATTCAGCCCCTCTTGTAAACTAAATAGGTGACCTCACCGCTGTGACCTTTCAAGCCGGGACACTTCACACTATCGGTTCAATCCAGCAGGTCAGAATTCACCTCTTCAATTGGCGCCGTCTGTGGGAACGCGAAGACATCAGAGAATGAAGCCCACGCGTTCTAGGAGCAGGAAAGCTCTAACTATTGGGGCTGAGCAGAGTAATGCGGCTCAGCAGGAAGATATTTCCGAAGGGCAGGAGTCCTCGAGAACTCAGCCCGCAAACGAAGAAGTCATAACCCATATGGCCGAATTTGTGACCGAGAATCCTAACATTTTCGAGGAGTTAGGGAGGTATCTTAAAAAACAAGGCAAACAGAAGGCCGAGTCCTCTAAAAGGAAGTCAGATGGATCTCCTGAAGGTCCGTCTGAAGAAGAATCTGATGGGAGGCGCCTGAGCCGAAGTGCTTCAAAGCGGGCATTTTCCAAGGCCACCTCTAAGGTCGCCTCCCTAACCAAGGCATTTTCAAGAGGGCTCTTGGGTCGACGACCTGAGGAGGAACTTCGACCCATGGGGAGAGTTGGGGTGGATTACATGAGGGCTCCACCCTTTATGGATGACATCAACGAGGAGAGACTTCCTCCCAACTTCAAACTCCCCTCGATACAATCTTACGACGGCCGAGGTGATCCTGAAAACCACATTCATGCTTTCATCTCGGCCTTCCGCCTATATTGCATCCCTGACCCCGTCATATGCCGGGCTTTCCCAGTATTCCTCCAGGGGACAGCTCGAAAATGGTTCTGGGGTTTAGAACCTAGGAGCATTTCAACCCTGGGGGAATTAGTGGAGAGATTTCTCCACCGGTTTGTCTCTTCCCGACCTACGACCAGAACCTCAGCTTATCTGTTGAATATGCAACAGAACTCGGGAAAGTCACTTCGGTCGTACGTCCAGAGGTTCCACGAAGAAAGCGTGCAGATACCTGATCCCAATGAGCAGGTTACCATCGCTGCTTTAACCCACGGGCTCGTTGCCGGGGTTTTCAATACCGGGATCCACAAGAAGTATTCTCGCACCCTCCAGGAACTATGGTTGAAGGTCGAGAAGGGCATACAAACCGAAGATCTCAACCGTATGAAAAAAGAGGCCCAGGCCTCCCGCTCAGGCCCGAGAACTGATCCACGAAGGGGAAAAGACGCAGGCCGAAGTGAAATCGGCACAGGAAGTGGCTTCCAAAATCCTGACCGAGATCGCCGCAGCGTATTTGACAGGATATCTAAGGGGAAATCATCAATTCCCGAGTCCGAGTTAACCCCTTTAAATACCACCCGATCTCGGGTATTGTCCGTAATGGAACAGAACAATTTCGGAAGGGCACCTCAGAAGATGTACGGTAGCAGAGATAAGAGAAACTCGAACCTCTACTGCCTGTACCACCGAGACATCGGGCATGAGACTGAAGACTGCCATGATCTCAAAAGGGAGATTGAGAACCTCATCAGGAAGGGACACCTAAAGCAGTTCATCCGCCGAGGTGGAGGTCATCAACGTAATGAACCTTGACAGCCGGGGTGATCAACGCTGAGACGAAAGGCGGACGTCGAGAAGCAGCTGCAGGCCCCCAGAAGATCCTAAGGAGACAAAAAGGCCTCCTCGAGATGGATCTTCAGGTCATGGATTAGGGTATGGACCCAACATAGCCGGAGTCATCAATACCATCACCGGAGGTCCGACGGGAGGAGATAACCAGAATTTCCGGAAGAGAACCTACAGGCAAGCTAACCCGGATCAGGCCGAGTCAAGCTCCCGCCTGTCCGAAGTGATCTCTTACGGACCCAGCGATCCTGTCCCAACTGCCTCGAGCAGTCATGAAGCCTTGGTGATTGAACTACTCACCAACAATTACATTGTCAAGAAGGTCTACGTTGACCCAGGGAGTTCGGTGGACGTCATGTATCTCAACACGTTTGAAAACCTTAAGTTGACCAGGGAACACATGACCCCGGTAAGGACCCCCCTGGTAAGGTTTGGGGGACACATCGTGCATCCCGAAGGGATGGTTACTCTGACGGTGACTGTAGGGCATCACCCCCGTTGCCGAACCATCTCTGTCAACTTCGTGGTAGTTAAGGCCGACTCTCCGTACAACTTGCTCTTGGGTCGACCCACGCTAAATGCTCTACGAGCAGTGTACTCCACATACCGTCTGAGTTTTATGTTTCCTACCCCCGCGGGTGTTGCTGAGGTAAGCAGCGATGTCTGCGCTGCCAGAGAGTGCTACCTCGCCACTTTGCAGGCAGCCTCCACATCGACCTCCGGCACGAGGTCCGAGAAGAGGTCCAACATCCTGTCAATTGATTGCATCAACCCTCAGCGAGCTGAGAAGCCCCAGAAGCTGGAGGCCGGAGATGAGGTGGAGGAGGTCTCCCTGAACCCCACGAATCCGGATCAGACGATCCGCGTCAGCACCTGTTAAGAAAGGTATGGTGGATCCGCGTCTACGTTGACCCAGGGAGTTCGGTGGACGTCATGTATCTCAACACGTTTGAAAACCTTAAGTTGACCAGGGAACACATGACCCCGGTAAGGACCCCCCTGGTAAGGTTTGGGGGACACATCGTGCATCCCGAAGGGATGGTTACTCTGACGGTGACTGTAGGGCATCACCCCCGTTGCCGAACCATCTCTGTCAACTTCGTGGTAGTTAAGGCCGACTCTCCGTACAACTTGCTCCTGGGTCGACCCACGCTAAATGCTCTACGAGCAGTGTACTCCACATACCGTCTGAGTTTTATGTTTCCTACCCCCGCGGGTGTTGCTGAGGTAAGCAGCGATGTCTGCGCTGCCAGAGAGTGCTACCTCGCCACTTTGCAGGCAGCCTCCACATCGACCTCCGGCACGAGGTCCGAGAAGAGGTCCAACATCCTGTCAATTGATTGCATCAACCCTCAGCGAGCTGAGAAGCCCCAGAAGCTGGAGGCCGGAGATGAGGTGGAGGAGGTCTCCCTGAACCCCACGAATCCGGATCAGACGATCCGCGTCGGCACCTGTTAAGAAAGGTGTGGTAGATCTTCTCAGAGAGTACCGGGACGTCTTCGCTTGGGCCGCAGATGAGGTCCAAGGAGTCCCGCATCACCTCATGGTACATGAGTTGAACGTTGACCCCTAGGCACGCCCAGTCAAACAAAAAAGGAGGCACCTTGGCCCTGAGCGCAGTCAAGCTGTAAGTGAAGAAGTAAACAAACTCCTGCTCGCAAAGATAATCCGGGAGGTCCAATATCCGACCTGATTGTCCAACCCGGTCATGATCAAGAAGGATGGGGGGGCTTGGAGAATGTGCGTCGACTTCACCGATCTCAACAAAGCCTACTCCAAGGACTGCTACCTATTGCCTAAAGTCGACACCTTGGTGGACTCGGCAATGGGTTATGAAATCCTCTGTTTTCTTGATGCTTTTATGGGGTATCACCAGATCGGGATGAGTCAAGAAGACCATGAGAAGACGGCCTTCTATACAGACCAAAGCGTATATTGCTACACCACCATGCCTTTCGGACTAAAGAATGCCGGGGCCACATATCAGCACCTGGTTAACCAAGTTTTCAAATCACAGATCTGCCGAAATGTCGAAACTTACGTGGATAACATCCTTCTCAAGAGCCAGACGACCTCCACTTTTCTTTCTGACCTGAAAGAGGTCCTTGAGGTCCTCCGGAAGACGCGAATGATGTTAAACCCCAAGAAATGTGTTTTTGGGGTCATCTCGGGAAAATTTTTGGGTTACCTCGTCTCAAGGCGAGGCATTGAAGCAAATCCAGATAAAGTGAGAGCAATCCAGGAAATGTCTCCACCTCGGTCTATCCGTGAGGTGCAGAGGCTCATAGGGCGGTTGGCGACCCTGAACCGGTTCCTGTCGCAGTCAGCTTCCAAGGCATTGCCTTTTTTCAAGGTTCCCAAGAAGGCCGACAGCTTCTCCTGAACTGAAGAATGTCAACAGGCCTTTGAGCAATTCAAGGAGTACCTTCACCGCCTCCCAATGCTCACCTCACCTCGGCCAGGGGACAAGTTGATTTTGTACCTATCTGTCGCGGTCGACGTCGTGAGCGTGGTGCTGATAAGGGAGGAGGGTGTACAGATGCCAGTCTATTATGTCAGCCGAGTCCTCCGGGGTCCGGAGACCAGGTACACCCAGGCGGAGAAACTCGTGCTGGCCTTAATCCACGCAACTCGCAGGCTTAAACCCTACTTTTTAACTCACAATATTTGCCTGAGAACTGACCAGCCCCTCAGGCAAGTTTTGTCGCGCCCGGAGGCTTCCGGACGTCTTACTAAATGGGCCATCAAACTAGGGGAGTACGACCTGTCTTACGAACCTCGAACGACCATCAAAGCTTAAGCCCTCGCGGACTTCCTGGCTGAACTCACTTTTGATGAAGTGATTGAGTCCACCCCGGCCACCACTGGATCTCAGCGGTGGATTCTGCACGTGGACGGCTCTTCCAACAATGAGGGTAGTGGGGCAGGTTTACTCCTTGAAGACCCCCAGGGAGAGGAGTGCTCATATGCCTTAAGGTTTGACTTTGCCGCCTTAAACAATGAGGCCGAATACGAGGCAGTCATTGCCGGACTCCAGCTAGCCCGCAAACTCGGCGCTGTGCACATATTGGTTTACAGTGACTCCCAACTCGTCGTGTGCCAGATACTGGGTGAATATGAGGTCAGAGAAGAGGTCATGCATCGCTACCTCTCCAAGGTCCACCAATTGATCGCGCAATTTGAGTCCTTTGAAATCCAAAGGATACCGCGGTCGCAAAACAAGCGGGCCGACGCCTTATCCCGGCTTGCTTTTACTTCATTTTCTGATTTGAATAAGACGGTTCTTGTGGAAGTTTTAGCCGAGTCGGGATATCCAGGAGAAGTTGTGTACCCCGTCTATCCCGAAGACACCTGGATGGATCCCTTGATTCGATTTCTCAGTCGGGGGGAGCTCCCTGATGACCGAGTTGAATCGAGAAAACTTCAGCATAAAGCAGCTCGATACGCCCTCTGACAAAATCTGTTGTACAAGAGATCCTATCTCGACCCGTGGCTACGGTGTATCACACCAGAAGAAGGCGAACGGATCCTCCAGAACATACATGAGGAACTTTGCGGGGCTCACGTCGGCTACAGGATTCTCGTCAAAGAGGCTTTGTTGTTTGGGTATTTCTGGCCCACCATGAGGGTAGATGCCAGATCATGGTCCTTAGTTGTCCTTTTTGCCAGCACCACGCCCCTGAACAGCACCAGTCAACTAACCTCATGATCCCCATCACCTCGCCGTAGCCGTTCGAACAATGAAAAACTGACATAATCGGCCCATTTCCTAGAGCCCCAGGGAATTATGCCTACGTAGTGGTGGCAGTAGATTACTTCACCAAATGGGTCGAGGCCGAGCCTCTGAGAACCATCACTAGGTCAGCAGTTCAAAAATTTTTCTGAAAAAACGTAGTTTGTCTTTTCGGCCTGCCCCGGGTGGTCATCTCGAATAACGGCAGGCAGTTCGCTGATAATCCATTCAAGGCGTGGTGCGAAAATCTTGGGATCAAACAGCATTTCACCTCGGTTGAACACCCTCAAGCCAATAGGCAGGCCGAAAACTTCAACCGCACTCTCCTCCATAACCTCAAAACTAGGCTATATCGAGCCGGATCATCCTGGATGGCGGAACTCCCTAGCGTGTTGTGGTCCTACCGGACCACCCCGAGGTCATCCACCCAAGAGACCCCGTTCTCTTTAACGTATGGGTTCGAAGCTGTCGTCCCAACCGAGTTCATCACTCCGAACCCACGAATGGCAGCGTATGCCGCCGAAATCAACGAAGAAGAGCGACGAGTTGACCTCGACCTCGCCGAAGAGAAGCGTGACATGGCGGCGGCCAAAATTGCTCTTTATAAAAATATCCTAACTGGCTACTACAACGTCCGGATCAAACACCTACGGTTCAGTCCGGGAGACCTTGTGCTCCGGAAGAATTCGGTCAGTTGAGCTGAAGCTCAGGGGAAACTTAGCCCCAAGTGGGAGGGACCCTACCGTGTTGTCGAGTCTAGCCAAAACGGATATTGTAAATTAGCTTATCGGGATGGTTCTCGGGTGCCTCGAACTTGGCACGCTGAGAACCTCAGATTGTATCACCCCTGAAGGGTATGTACTCTGTTAGTTAAACTCATATGTTATTTCTCCCTTAGTGTTATTTTATTCTACTCTAAGTGAAAAATAAGGGGACAAAGCAGCAGTAAAAAAGAAAAAAGAAAAATCGAGCTCAATTAAAAAGGCAAAAGTATAAAGTTATATTGAAGTACAAAAAGAAAACCGAGATCCGGAATGCTCCTAAGCATCCACGACCTCGGCCGGTACAAAATGGAATGTCTCTAAGCATTCCCTGCCCCGGAGCCTTGTTCACCCATAGTTTCTCCCCCAACCCCGGCGTCTTGCTGTCCTTCAGCCTCTCCGCCGATCTTGTCCCCTTCGAGGCCATCGCCATCTAAGTCGAACTCTTGAAGCCACTTGTTGAACTCGGCGCGGATCTCGATTAGGTCTCTTCCGGCTTGGATGCCTTCGGCCATGCGGTCACACAGCTCTTTGGCATCCTCATTGTAGTTCGGCCCATCTTGGAGAGATTCCAGCTGTTCAAAAGAGAGGAAGGGCGCCGCGTCATTGACCGCCGTGGTATAGCCAAACATGAAGCTCGCCAGCGTCAGTTCGCCAAGGTCGGGTTGAAAGACTCCGACTTGCAGAAGGCTTCCAAGGCTGACACCCCGGCCATCTCTATCGCTTTTTTGGATGACTGCTCCTCCTAGGCTCTTCTCTCTTTTTCTTCACCGAGGGCGGTTATCAAAAAGTTCTTCGTCACCTCGACCCGGTTTCTGGCAGCCTCGGCCTTATCTCGCTCCAGCTCGGTGGCCTTTAGTCTCTCTTCCAGTTCAGCAATCTTCTTCTGAAGCTCGGAGGGCGGCTCGTACGTCTCCATTATATTCCCATAACGCTGAATCATCCCAGCGAAAAAGGCCGTGGTGGATGCCCAGGAAACGGAGGCACTCTGCATCAGCTCGTCAGGGGTGAGCTTCCTGGCATAAGTGTTGTCTCGCGGCAGCACTAAATGGACGAGGAGCTCCTGTGCGACCAAGAGGTTCTTGCAGCGGTGGTTGACATTGATGTTCCACTCCGGGCACCACTGTGCTCCGGAGTGCCTCTTGTCCTCCCCGGCCTCTTGAGCAGGCACGTGGTGGAGATTGAACAACGAGAACCCCGTGACGGGGTGATCTGGAAAAAGTGTTACACCCTAGCCCCGGGATGGAGAAGTTATGGTTACTCCCCAAACGGGGACCCCCACCGGAATGGCTGAGGCTTGGGAGCCCCCTGGAGTGGCCGAAGTGCATGAGCCTTCCCCCACAATCACCACGGGAGGTGCGCGGCTCGCCATTGTCGCAGCAGTCTTTTTGGCCGGCCTGGTGGAAGGCTCGGCGGTGTCCTTGCGTTTCTTTGGTCTTTTGACCACCTCGGCTGCCGTTCCGGAGGTTATCAAGTCAGAAACTCTCGTCACTGCAAAGTACGAAAGGAGAGTTAGTTAGAATCAAGGAAAAACAAACAAAGTAGGGAATGGAAAAGTACAAGATTTCTGTAGCCTAGAGGAGAAGAAGACGGGGTGATCCGAGTTGATCAGAGCTCGGCTGAGTCCGCCGTCAACAAGAACTATCTCGGGAAAATCCCAACAGTTGATCCTGAGACCCGACCCCGTCAGTTTCTTGAAGTTGCTCTCCTCCAGTTTACCCGGAGAGGTCTTTTTGACCGGGGTGGGAAGCTTCCACCAGAACCCTCTAGGGAAATCCTCAGCTGGAACGAAGATGAAGTTTCCCTTCCACTCCTTTATCGAAGTGGGGACATCCACCACCAACTTCGGGATCTTGTTCCCGAAGTAAAACCAACCCTTCTCACTCCCACTATTTTTGAGCGAGTAGCACCGGCGGAAGAGGTTGAGGGTGGGCTCTATTTCCTAATGTCGGCAGAGCAGTTGA